GGCGTTAATTGTAAGACCCGGCTCTTTTAATAATTTAAAAACTCTTCTCTAGGTCTTTAATATGTGTTCCAACGTACTATCGTTATAATTATATCATCTAGATAGATTAAAGTCGATTTTCCTAGGACAGGCTTAGAACAATGTCCATAGCTCTCTGGAATGTTGACGGGGTCCCCACACAACCCAAAGGGCATGCGTAAAAATGCATAAGTGCCCGCCCGATTTTGTTATAAACGCGGTTTTATGTATGTCTTCGGTCTCATAGCTATTTGATAGTAGCCAGACGTTAAGTCCAACGTAGTCATGTATCTCGTAGACTTAATCTTTCTAATAATTTCCTCTATAACCGGCAAAGGGTAAACTGGGAAATTTAGTAACACTATTAAGTTTTCTGTAATCGATAGCAAACCTCCAAGCCCTTTTATCCGAAGGAGGAAACTCGTTCTTTTTCCTACATAGTACGACTGGACATGGCTCGCGTACTCACTATTTATGGGCGTTATTATCTGGTTCTTTTAACATTTCCTGAATGTGTTCTTCTATGATTTGCTCTTTCTGTTTATCAGCGGTTTTCCTAGGGTTTTCGCAATGAATGAGACTTTGACAATCAGTTTTTTTAAAACTCACCAAAAGTGGCTTTGCAAAAACTAAATAATACTTTAAGGCTTTCGTTTTGAACCTGTATTTTTAAAGATAATTTTCCAATACATTGACAAGTTTGTCCTTGCGCTGCTATGATTTCTGTGTTTTTATTTTTAAATAATCGTAACCTATTAAAATTCTTCTTAAAAAATATCACTCATAAAATTACCTTCTGCTCCTGTATCGATGAGGGCTTCTACTGGTACATCGCCAACCAGGACTTGTATAATTGGTAATTGTGAGTTTTTTACGATGACCGTATTTAAGTATCTTCTTGAGGGTTTTTTCAAAACTTCCGGGGTCTGGACCCTCGCTTTCACAGGCCCCTCTACTCGTTTAAAGCTTTCCTTTCAACTTCTGCCTTCTGGGTACGCGGACGGTTGTTTTCAAATTTCCTTTTTGGGCCTTGACCTTCGAGCTTCGATGAGTTAGCTTGATAGCTCTTTCCCCCATAAGAGCGGTTTGCATTTCTGGTCTGCTCATTTGAAGATTGCCTTCGGATACTTTGAGAATACGATGCCCCTCTAGCTTTTTCCGCTATTCTGCGATTTTGGAACTTGACCGCCAATTCGAAGAGCTCCTGCAATGTGCTTGGGTTTCTAATTTCGAAGTAATCTTGAACAGCAGGTAGCAATCTTGGTAAGATTATTTCAATAATCTCCGCGTCGGGTTTCTTCCCATACAGCATATCCGTCAGCTTAATTTTTCGCAGAATAAAGTCCGTCAACTCTTCTATATTCCGTTGATAAAAACTATATAGTTCGGCTTCTAGCCTTGCTCGGTCTTTCACTATGGGGAAGGCCTTTAATAACGATTTTTTGAAATTTTCAAATGTATATGTCTGGCCTCCGAATTCCCCTAATAAAAATTTGCCTATATTCTTCCACCACCATAGCGCGGCCTGTCCTCTTAGTGCAGATGTGGCGATGGCAACTTTTTGTCTTTCAGGCACAGGGTAGAGCTGGAAGTGATTTTCGAGGCCTTCTAGAAATATCGCCACCGAATTTTTTCCGTCGAAATTGACGTTTGGCTTGATTGACGCTCTCATCGTCTGGACCAGGTATCCAAATCCTTCCAATTGGCTTGCCATTTCTTGTTGTTGTCCAGCAGCTTCCATCCAGTTTTCGGCCATTTCAGTTCGACAAGTGTTCGGGCGCCAATGTAATGTTGCGCGGCCCCAACCTGCACGCAACAATAGTGGTGACTGCTATGAACTGGAAAGTACACAAAGTCTTGAGAAGGGTTTAAATCCCTTTTTATTCAACTTTAGAAATTACAGATGCGTGCTCTTGACGCTCACAAACTACGCCGACCCGGCGGTAAAATAAAAATAAGAAACTAAAAATGAATAATAACAAGTGACTACCTACGAGGCTCTCTAAACGTAACTAACCTAACCGCGTTCTAAGATACCGCTGATAATTCAGCAAACTTCTGAATATTACGTTGAAAGATTCAACTATCTGCCGAGGCAAGCACACAGGCCGAAACGCGCGGGTTCTTCAATTTCTAACCTAGCCACCTCCACGCTCGTGAAGCAAGAAAGCACACTTTCGAACTCGTTTCTCTCTATTTAACTCAAATTACTTCCGCTGACAATTTGAATACTTTGCGCGCTCGACTAAAATTTACATACTCTGGCAATGGCTATTCCAGGGGAAAGTAAGGCTTGACAGGAAAGATAGTTTAAACTTAAAATAAATGTTAGTTAAAATAAATATAAACCCTACAATATAAGCACGGCTTTGCTCCTAAAGATACTTTATGCTTCTTTTATCAGGTTTAAGGCAAAAAGTGCTGATAATAAATTAGCGTAAATTCCTAAACTATTTTTCTGAAGTGAGAATTACTTGAGCAGATTTAAGATTTCTATGTTAATGGAAATAGACCGAGAAAACAATGCAGTTCAATGAACTCTCCCCTCCCTGAATTTCCATATTATCAGTTATTGGTATTTGAATATATTTTTATTTTGTAGTCCAGCTGTGAATGGTCATACATATTGGCGAATTATGGACTAAGTCTGCGATTTATTAGAAAACGTGATCACACCATCTCTTTGAAAAAGATTCAGTGTTATTAATTCATCACAATTCTTAAGTGTCTACATGCTTAAAGAGCGTGTTCTTACACATTTATTGCAAGACGCAGAAATAAGCATAGTAAAATTCAAAAATAGTTTCAGTACATTAAATCACAGATCACCTCCCATCACCCAAAAATAAATAAAATAAAATAAAATCTCAAAGCACTCAGATTTTACATTGCGTTTTTTTAACGTTTTGCGTGTTATCTTTATTTATTAAATATCCTGTTATTCGCTCTTAAACCATAAAATTCAATTCAACAGCAATATCAAAAAATAATTTTAAAAAGGGCATATCTTTAGAATTTCCGATAAACAGTCTCGCGCTCTAGAAACAATTTTTTTTCCCCGTACAGGGTTGCCATTGCTCGCTTTGAAATCGTTGAGTTTTTTATCGCGCCTAGACACAATTTTTTTTCCCTTTACCAGGGTTGCCATTGCTCGCTTTGAAATCGTTGAGTTTGTTAATCAGAAATTCATTAAAGTGTAACAATATATGAAATCGATAATAAAACGAATTTCGGATTCCAAATTAGGGTTTTCAGATGCCCATATTCGGGTCTAGACGTACCTTATTCAAAATTCGATGGCTCTAGGTACCGTTGTTTTATCATAATGCGAGAATCATACATACATTTATGCAGATTCTTCATTATTTAATTTCTTTAAATATCACTCAGGGCTCTAATATTTTGTGGCAACAATTTGAAAAGTGAACCGACGCAAAATGCCAAAAGGAAATTAATAGCCCTTCTAGGCTAGTAAAAATTATGAAATCTGACCTTAGTAAATCTTACAATCAGCTAAAAAATAAGAATATGCTCAATAGCAATTAGCTCATAGTTACATACACTAAAATTTGATATCCGGAGCTTCCAGCTCCGGATAGTCTATGTGCTTTTTCTTTAGATCGTGCAAGATATACTTGGTTTAATGCAGGAATTCAAGAATTATTTTTAAGTACCCGCAAGCTTTTAAATTTCACTTTATCATTAATGTTTTGGGCTGGAGATGCATAGGAAAAATAACTGTATAAGGTATTTCTCCAACCTTCCTAGCGTGCCTTCGTGGTATAGTGGTTATGCACGCTGGGCCGGTATTCCAGAGGTCCGTGGTTCGATTCCCGGCGAAGGCGATTGCTCATTCTAAATCTTCCCGGCTGTTCCAATTATCCAAATGTCTCTACAACTGTAATGAAGATTATTGGTTTGAAGTTGAGTATAAAATAATGCGCTTGCGAAACAATGTCATATAATTTTTTTCAGAACACTATAAGTATATACATACCTCTCATTTGGATAAAAATCGAACCTTAATTTTCGTTCCATAATATATGTGCTGACTGTATATCTACTATACATATTGACAATAGGCAGAGTACTTACAAATCGGGAAGAAGAAAAAGCAGTCCACTTGTATTACGTAGCGCCTTTTAATTAACAAAAAAAAAAAAAAAAAAATCACATGTCTATTTTTGCCACATTGCAAAGCAATTTAACCATTGATGTATTTCAATTGCCCATGCGTATGATTCCAGGAAAGAAGCAAGCTAAGTCGTATATGAATACATAAAAAATACTCTCATTCCATTTTATGACTCTTCATTTATTTACGTTAGGTCTTTTATTTGTTTATGTAACTTATTACTGACAGAAATGGTAATTTAGTGTCTCATTAGCTATAGAAAATAATTTCAGAAAGTAACATTATTAAAATATTAATTCAAGCTCAGAAAATCTTCAGGAAAAATTGAAATTGAAGCTTCCGAAATTTCATTTATTTGCCTTTCGTGGAATTTCAGCATTATGGTAAGATGTGAAACAAAAAGAATAGCTAAAAGCCTGATTAAAGGAGCTCAAAATCTCTTTTCTATAAACAGCAGGAATTCGAGATAAGATAGTGAGTGTCAAGAGGGACGTAGTTAGGGTACCAAAGAAAGGTCTAGGAGAGGGAAAAAGAGATTTAGAAATTCCCAAATGGAAAATCTTGTCGTTTAAAAATCCAGTCATGTGCGAAAGATACGAAGTCTCATAATTTCTAAAAATTGAAGGCATATCGTACGTAAATACGCATAAATGTTTCTTGTTCATAAACTGAATTTCAGTTTTTATAAACACACGTTATGCATTCCAGAGTTATATGTTTATCTTAATTTGTTAGTGAAAGAGCTAGAATTTATAAAATTTGAATCTCAAGATCATCTTTTATATTTCTGAATTTTACTTTACATTTGTTTATTGTATGATTTAATTTTATTTATTTATTTTTCCAGATCATTGGAATAATAAACTGCTTGTTGTATGGAGCAAGTGCTGTATGGTTTGTTATCTGTCACCTGTAAATGCATTCATTTACTGTGTAAACTTTTACATTTGAAAAGGTTTTTATATCTTGTACAACATATAACAAGACAAATACATCTATTAAAACTGAGCCTTAGTCCAACTTACTAGTTGCAAAGCAAATTGTTAAATTAATTGTTGTTAAAAGTAATGAACTATTTGAGAATTTTCGTAATTTGTTTGTGTTTCAAAACAGACGCTACTCTTAGTGTTGTGTTTATATATATATGTGTGTGTATTTATGTATTTATTACATATTTATTCATTCTTTTACGGCATGATGAGAAAGAAGTTCAATAACTATATCGATAATCACAGAGTTTTTGTAAGTGGCAATAATAATTTGCCTTATGTGAACACTCAGCGATCACTCTGATTGTGAGTTCTGCTTCATTTACACATTCTCTTATGCAAAGTAATTCTATGCTTAATTGAGCGATATCTACTCCTTTTTATTCTTGATATAATGACCAGAAATCACACAACTCTTATAAAAAGATATTGTATTAATTAATAGCAGATATTTTATTTAAGAGAAACATAAAATATTTGTATAATGTTTTAATTAAAGGAATTAATTAAAAAAATGAAACAAACTATTTAAAAATGTAATGATAAATTAAATGACAAAAATTTGTAATAGTGAATTCGTTTTGAAGCTGATAGATTAATCCGGCATTTTCAGGTCGAATGTTGCCGTTTCTTTTTTTTATTATTATTATTTTGCAATTCCTTTTGTTATTTTACTAATTAATTTACCAATGAGCATGATTAGCATGATATATAGTAGCATGATTAGCGGGGATAAGAAAACGAGTTCTCCATTTGGCATGGAATATTACCCTGATAATTTATAAAGCACTCCTGAACAAAAAATAAGGAACAAAAGCAAAACACGGAATAACACAAAAACTATTTAATGGATATGCGGTGAAATTGATCCAAGAAGTTGGTATGGATTTACTAGACCCCATAGCAAACAATAAAGCAAAGACATAAAAAACATGCGTATTACGACCATCACATCGCGAAAGACCAAATGGGTCCGAAGATTGTGCAATGAAAATATCACGCTAATAACGGGTGTGATACCCTCCGCATGCTTGACAACGGCGAGGCAAGCTGGCATTAGAATCGTTAATTGCTTGTTATCCGAGTAGCTCTCATTTCTGTAGTAATGCATATCGGAGCTTGTGATGGATGCCTGGCGGCACATTACGACCTACTATTCGTCGCCCCAAAATGTCCCACACATGCTGTATGAGATTCAAGTTCGGTGGTCCTGGCAGGTTACTTCAGATGTGGAATGGCTTCAGAATCCAAATAACTCCGCATCACTCCAGCTCTATGTGTGCGGCTGTTATCGTCCATATCGCGTCGGTACCCATTGCAGCGATGAAAGGCACAAGAGGGTGTAGAATTTTGTCGCGATATCGGATGACTGTGATGTAACCACCAGAAATCACGTAGAGGCCGTTCGTTGCTATCCCAGTCCATACAAGTAAGCCTTCTCCTCTGTAATGCTCTCTTTTGACCGGTTTGGCGCCCGATAACGTGTCCTTGACTCTCACCATATCATTGCCCTTCGGGAATCGTTCTGGATGTTAAATAGAGACTCATCCGTAAAGATTACATTGCCCCACTGCTCTGGTTTCCATCTGTGATGTTCCCGGGCGAAATTAAATCGTACTTTGAGATGCGATGGGGACAAAGGAACACAAGCTATAGGTCGTCGGGCGTACAATCCATTTTCATGCAGTCAAGCGAGACAGTTGGCGGGATATGGGCCGTGCTGCAGCAAACGAAAAATGCGACGTCAGCTGTTACGCTGTTAGTTATCTACGGCGCCTTTCAGATAGAAATAGGAAACGATTGTCTGCCGTTGTGGTAATCCCTCGACGTCCAGACCTAAGTCTTCTTACAGGGGTTTTGATATCTTTGGTAACGATTTCACAGCCTGTTTATGCACATTCAGCTCTTTCGCAAAAGTGGATTGTCTTGCAAAAGCTTGTAACATCCCGAAAGCCCTCGAACGCATTTCTTTCTGGAAATGATGTCTTCGGCTCATCTATCCGCTTTGGCTACCTCAGATTATACGGAACTATCGCTTCTTGGGAGCTGACGCATGCCAATGCCAATGATTAAGTATTTCGCAGTACGCCTAAGGTTCTAAGCCATGTAGTTTTAGTAGAACTTGAGTAGAAGATAGCAATTTGGCATAGTCAATGAGGAATACCAATTTTAGAAGATGGAGACGCCTGTCCTTCACGTCGGAGGGGCTAGAACTGAAGAGGAGAGGCATGTCTCCGCCTCTTTTCAGGAGGATAGATGCCGTAGTCTCGGCCCATGATGGCTCTCATTAAATTTTTTAACTTGGAATACCAGGATCGTAGATAGGAAAATGTTGAAGTGCTCAGTTATCAATCTACTCAATTTTGAAGAACAAATTTTGACTACGTTTTGTAATAACGACATCAATTGGTTTAATGTTAAGGTCTGAGTGAATCACATCAGTATGGACGTACCAGACTGCACTAAGGATTAACCGTAGGGTTTTACTTTGAAAGACTTTTAAATTTTTTATGTGAGTCTTCTCAACCGCACCCCAAATGGTACATGCGTGCATAATAAATGGTCTAATAATTGAAGTATAGGGAAGAGTTTGGTTTCTGATAGACAGATGGCTCTTTCGAGCTAATAGGGGGTTAAAGTTGGGATCTGACGCTCTTCGCTTCTTTTGAGAGTATTCCAAATGTGAAAATGTCATAGTAATTTTGAATCACGTATTATAGATACTTATATAAGTTTGAGCAAGAAATACAGTTGTCAAAGAACTTTAAATTAATGGAAGCGTACGGGAGTCGGGAGAGTGTGAATATCATGGCAGCACATTTAGCGGCATTAATTTTGATTTTCCGAGTAATGAGCCAGTGCTCAAGGCTTGAGAGAAAACTCTGAATGTTGTGAATCAGTTTATCGAAGTGTTTGGGGAACTGACGCATACCAGTTCCAGTTGCCGCTGTCGTCACGTCTAGCTTCCTAAGTATATAAGCTGTATACCGGCTATCGTAACATAGGTGCTTCAAGAAGCGATGCAAGTACAAAAATGCTTGAGTGGGTCCAGAGAACAGGATGAAAGTTGAGGATTCCTTTGTCACGTGAGGGATGTGAAAAACACATTTTACAGAATTAGGCAGTACATAAAACATAAAATACATATCTTCCTCAGAAAACAGACCACTATTTACATAATATTTACAAGTATATGCCATGCTAAAAAAGCAGGAAGTACTACAAAAAATAGAAAAAACTTAGAATGCCCGCACATTATGGAGTTATAATAACAATTTTAAATCTTATGTAGGGAAATTTAAGTTTTTGTTTAATATAAAAGCTGCGAAAGGGCGCAGTGCCGATCTTCTTGCAGAATTTCATAGCTGAAGAGATTGAAATGATCCATAATGCTGCAATCTTGTGCATTTTGATAGAATTGCTTATTAATTTTTCGTAATAACTTCGCTAGGGTTTCTACTTTGAGGTCATCATGAAGACACTTACTCCTTACAAAATAGTGGGCATCCGTGATGATACGCAGGTATCTGTTCTGCACCACTTCTAATTTATTAAGTTTCTGGTAATTGATTGTTGTCCAGACCGGTGAAGCGTAGGTCATTATTGGCCTAATAACAGAAAAATAAATGAGTCTCCTCTTATCGAAACCTAGTAAACGAGTATTTTTCAGTGATAGGATAAAGACATTTAATGATATTTAGAGTCCTGTCTCGCACGTTATTAATGTGGTAAGTCCATGTGAGACGATCGTTAAACAATATTCAAAGGTATTTTGCTCATAGACGACAGAAATAGGTTCATTTAAAAAACGTTTTTGAGCGGAACTTTCCTTTTTGTTTTTGTTTGCTCAAAAAGTCCGTTTTTGAGTGGAACTTTCCTTTCTTTCCGAATAATCAGAAACTGTGATTTGGGCGCGTTGATTTGAACTTTCCACTGTGCACACCTTTTTCAATGTGGGGATTGAAGTTTTGAAGTTTGCCGACAGCAAGATTCACATTTGCGGATTTCGCCGGCAGTGTCATCCTCATAGCAGGCTAAAATAGAATTATTTTGCTGAATTTGAGGGAAATCCGCGGCATAAAATAGACAAAAAGTTCGTTCTAGGACCGAGCCTTATGGAATATCGCTTAAAGTAAATCTTTCGGAGTAGTTTGCACCGTTCACACAAATACTGAATGTTCTGTTAGTGATGAACGAGTGAATCCTAAGTAGCAGTTCTCTGTCAAAGTGACAGGAGATGAGTTTAGAAATAAGCCCCTCATGCCAAACGCGGTCGAAAGCTTTCGCCATATCTAACATGAGGAGAGCAACACACTGTTTATTTATTGTGGAGTGCAGATCCGGTAAACTACCGTAATTCTCACTAGTTGTGTAGTAGTCGAAAGTTCGGTTCTTAATCCAAATTGCTTCGGTGGTAAAGACGTAAGATAAGGTTGCACACGGGAAAGTAATAACATTTCAGAAATTTTTCCAAGCATTGGTAATAAACTAATGAGTGTTATGTCGCCAACTTTAATTATATTAATATGTGTTTTAAGTTATCATTATTCTAGTGTTTTTATTTGTACTCATGTGTATTTTAATCTAGTAAAAAGAGTTTTCTTAAATTGTTAAAGCCTTATTTAGCTGATAGTTCTTGAGACTGTAGTGTAACAAAGACAGGAAACAATTGCAAAGCCATATAGTTTATTGGTTTATGGCCTTTTTACTAACAGTGAGAGCAGTTACGTTGTTGTCTTTTGCTTCGCTGGTAGCGTCGTAACGAAAATCGTCTTCTTTTCGCTTTGTTGTATTTGCAATGTTTCTTTCAGTAAGCTTAGGTAATTGGACTTTCTTATCGCTAGTTACCCCTTATTAGTTGGGGGGTTTAGTTCACTCATTTTTTCTGAAGTACAGATGTTTGGCTTCATTGTCAGATTTTTCTGTTTTTTGATTCGTCGTGGGGGTGGAATTTCTCAGTTAAAGATAAAGTAAAATTCTGGGATTTTTAAGATTTAATTTGATGAATTTTTTGTAGGC